AATGCCATTGGCTTAGACCTGGCTGGCAAGGGGGTGGTTTTAAGCCGGGAAAGAGCTGCTGCACCAGGTGACAGCAGTGGAGCTGGGGCTGTGGATGACTTCCCCTGAAGTAGACGGTTGCCTAACAAAGCGGGGGCACCTGAACAGAAGAATGTCATTCTTTTAGGAGAGGGGATGATACAGGCAGCCAACAAATGTCCATTACATGAAGAATAATTAAAATAAAGGGAATGAAAGAGAGAATAAAAAAGAAAGTAAAGGAGTTGCAGGGAGATTTCTTTGGAAGAAAACATGAAAGATGAAACTGAAGGAGGAAAAGTAAAGAAAGATTTAATTGGGAAAGACGGAGTCTGAGTTTAAGGGAGAACAAGGAATTATCCTAGGGCACTTATTTCTTAACTGTAGTGAAGGATTTCCAACTGTTGATGTGTATTGTTTAGCTTGTCCTCTCTTAATGAAACACTTGAAAAACAGTATTTTGCTGATAATTGTTGTGGCTATGGCTTGTTTTCAGTTTTAGGGTAACTACTGCTGATTGAATAAGAACTGAGTGTTTCCTTTTCAGAGCATAGGTGGGTACATTACACTGGCCACATGCCTTTTCTGCTGATTATTTGCTGTAGCCACTGCTGGTTGACCATTGGTCATGTCCAGCTAAATTTCTGGAAGGTTTGCCAGAATGAGGAAGTGCAGCAGCTGGACAGATTTTTTAAGGAATATGCAGCCAGGAGGAGTAAACAAAACTTGGCTTTCTTTTTTAAGAGGGAGTCTTTTGTGATGCCAAGTTTCTGGGGCTGGGAGGTTGCTTTCACCAGGGACTCCTTCAGTGTTACTGAGGAGAAATTACCAATGCCCAGAGTCTACAGTCCCAACAGGAGAGACTCTTTTTATTAATCTCTTGATTTTTTTTTAATTCTATTTTTTATTGAAGTGTAGTTGTTGATTTACAATGTTAGTTTCAGGTGACCAGCAAAGCAATTCAGTTATACACATACGTACATATATATTTTTTCTTTTCAGATTCTTTTCCATTATATGTTATTATAAGAAATTGAATATAGTTCCCTGTGCTGTACAGTAGGTCTTGAAGAAACTCTTAACATCGAATAACATTTTATCTTTCAGCAGTAACGACGTTACTTTAACACTTAGCAGATCTTGGTTATAGTGGCTTCTTTGGTTACAAAAGTTTTAACGTCTTCTTCTCATTTCAAGCATCTGGTTTTCCAAATTTTTATTCTGGTCCTTCATAAACAAGAAGAGGGAACTTTCCACTTATTCAGAACAATCCATTTCAACTACTAAAGAGATCCAGGCTTCCAATAACCCATGGGTGAAACCGAGAGATTTGAGAAGGCAATAAATGAACGCGCAGGCTGCCGAGGGCAGGCATGTCTGCTTCCTGGCAGCTTTTAGTGAATAGGCACTGAGGCAGGCTCCTTCAGTAAACAGCTCAGGCAGCCATCTGCTGAGGTCATTTGAATAGCACGAAACTCTCTCTCTGCCCCTAAACCTTTCCTCTCTTTTGGCTGAGCAGAAATGATAAACATCTCTGCATTGCTCAAGGTTTTGGGTTCACAGTGAAGGCTTTTATGAAATTAGAAAAAAAATCATATAACTCTGTAGTTACGCTGTGCAACTTCCATATTAGAAAGACTCAACTTTCATAAAAGCAGTGAAAATACATTTGGAGCCCAGGGGATGGTGTGCAAACTCTCTTTGCTATGAAAGCTTCCTCTTTTTCTGGATCACCACTCAAGTTTGTGGAGAGAAAGCACTTCATGGATTTCTGATGATCTCTTTCCCCTGGTTTTCCTTACCTTTTCTCTTTCTTCGCATTTCCTCTTTCTCTCTGTGAACCTGGATCTTCCCCATAGGGAGACGCAACAGATCTTTGCCTGGGAGTGCTTGACCTGTGCTGTACAGGGAGTATCTGCAGCCATGCACGGCTGCTGAATACTTACAATGTGACTAGTGTGACTGAGGAAATGCACTTTTAATCTACTTTCATTTTAATTAATTTAGATTTAAAAACTGAAGCTACTAAACAACTCTAAACACAGTTTGTTTTGGTAGGACTGCGTTTCACCGTAAGCTTTGAAAATTTAGCCTCAATTGAAATGCACTAAAAGTGTAAAATACTTTGCATTACACTAGAGTGCAAAGATTTAGTACAAAAGGAATGTAAACAGTCTATCATAATTTTTCTATTTGCTAAATATTTTGGATAATTAGTCTAAATGAAATATATTATTAAAATTAAGGTTACCTTTAATTTTACTTTTTTGATTTCTTCTATTTTTAAATTTTTGGGGGGTAATTAGGTATTTATTTACTTATTCATTTATTTTTAATGAAGGTACTGGAAATTGAACCCAGGACTACATGCATGCTAAGCACACACTCTACCTCTGGGCTCCATCCTCCCCTCAACTTGTTAACTTTTTTTAACCTTAATTTATCTTTTTGCTTTTTTTAATGTGGCTATTAGAAAATCTATATAAGTAGTTGTCAAAATTCTGATGAACAATACTTTCTAGATTCTCACATTCTTCAAGATAGAGCGCCTAGTGAATACAAATAAGACATTCTCTTGGTTATATAGATCATCTTTCATAGCGTAAGTTCAGTGCCAGGAGACTTGCTTCCTTCCCCAGGGTGAAGAAAACAGAAAAAGGATGGAGAACAAACCTCACTCTGAAGCCATCACCAGTTCCAATGCTCAGCATCATGGAGAGAATCAGATAAGCTGCTTTCAAGGGTAGGGAATGAAGACATTGGTCTAAGGGAATTCTGACGGCTGGGTTGAGGGAGAAAGGAAAGGAGGCTGTAGACAGGTAGGAGAATACTCCAGGGCATGGAACATTTTCAAGACAGCTAGTTGGATGACGACCTAAGAGGGAGGCCCATAGACATGAATATTGTGGGTTCCTGGAAGGGTGAGTGTACTATTATGGAGAAAGAGGACACTGAGCAGGAGATGAAAACATCCCGAAAGAAGCTTTGGAATGGCTTGTAGGCAAATATTTTTCTTGAAGGCATCAGTTTAAAATACATGGCATTATGATATCCCTTCTGGTATCAGATAATGTTCTTCCAGATTCTACTCCTGGTCTTCTGCAGAACTGGCTTGAAAATACTTCCGCTGATGCTGCAGCTGCATAAGTGATATTGTTTGGTCCTTAATACCTACCTCAGCGTCCTTTTGAAGAGACATCTGGGTAGGTGAGGAACAAACCATTTCCCCCAGTCTTCTTTCTCCTAGTTTTTTTGACATTTATTATGTCCAGTCCTTTCATTTTACAGATGAATGAGACAGAGAGACAGACGGAGAGAGGCTGAGAGATGACATGCCTTCCCCAGGACCAGCCACCAGTCAGGATCAGCTGATACCACTAGAAACTGCGCTGGGGCTGCATGTTCAGGCTCCCGAGTCCCAGTTGAGGTCTATCACTACTGTATCACATATGCAAGTTTTAACTAATGGTTCCCCACTAGTTGTAACTTTTACTTGTAATCTGAGTTCTCTACTTCTGGACTGCTGTATGCTCGTGATCTGGTAAAGATTATTGTTTATTTGTCCAGTACATTTTGAATTTGAAATATGTTCTGGTTACAAACAAAATATACTTTGTATGATTTTCAGGGGATAAAAATGATCCTAAAAGGTCTAACTGAATAAGCTTTGAGGTAAGAAAGTATTATCAAAGTACATTATTTACCTCTCATTTTAGGAATTTCCTGGCCTGACCATCAGCAATATTTCATGAGAAAAGGAAAGGATTTGGTTAGTATCAGTTGTCTCAAAATTAAATGAATTAAAATTAAAAGCTATTTTATTTCAGAATTAGCATATAAGTAAATAGCTTGCCTTGATAGTTATAAACTAAGAGTAGCTTCAGGAGGCTGAAGCTATAAGCCAAACCAATATGAGAAAAATCATCTATCTATAGTTTCTTAAAAATATGGAAAAATGTTATAATGGCACTGTTTCTATGGGTAGTGCAATATACAATATCTAGAAATTGTCTTAATAGAATGAACTTTATATTGTATCACTTCATTCTTTTTTCCAATAAGAAGGGATAAATACACCGGCTGTGTAAGTGGTAAACTTTTTTTTCTTACCGTAAGTAAATGAAATATAGAGACACTCTTAGGACAGATTATGTAATATGTAGAATTCATGCTTGCTATCTTACAAGGAATTATTTGTACATGAAATCTTTTGGACTTGAAATTGAAAATGTGTGATTTATAAGCAAAGAAAAAAAGATTTAAATCTTAATGCTCTGCATTTCAAATTTCTAGCTGATTTATACGCCTTTTAAATTCCATGCTATTAAGCAATTCAAAATTTATATGGCTATATATGTTGAGCTAATATTAATTCCCCAACCAGCCAGCCCGTGGCATTTTGCATGCTATTCTTCATTTTTTCCGTCTGTATTTTCTCTCATCTAACTTTTTTAGAAATGTTATTCCTATTTCTGTCACACTGTCGCCTTTTAGTCTGTCTTGCAAGAATGTAACATCAGCAGCCAAATGAACCTAGGGGAAAAAGAAACAAACAAGCCTGAATCATTCAGGTTTTTAAAAAATTCTAAACTTTTCTGTCTCTTGCTTCAGCTTTATTTACCCCATAAAGAGCTGACTTTCCTTATGGAATGATAAAAAAAGAGATTGTTCTGTGGACGAAGGGCCCTTTACTCTGTGTCCTCCACTGATGGTCTGGCTGTGGTCAGCTCTGTGTGGGAGTCTGCAGAGAGAAGGGTGGACCCAGACAGGCCCAGCCTGGTTGATTCTGGGGCAAGCCCAGGACATGGACCCATTTTTGCTCACTGTGCAGGTCTAAACTGTGGATCCATCCCAAGAAGAACACAAGTCCCCAGCTTAAAGATAGCCTTCCCTGATGCCCCTCGCGAAGCAGAACCTCACGGATAAAGGCTTCTTAAACGACTCTTCTCTAACTGACTGGCTATAAATCATTCTGTCATTAGATAAATAGCATAATCACTTCTCCTAACAACATTTAGCAATCACTATGGCTTTGAGAGCTTTGAAAAAATACCAACTAAATAAATTATAAGTATAAAATTAAAGATTGAAATTGTAGATGTGAATATTTGATACCCAGGCCTTCTTTCCCACTACAGAGCATTCCTCTTTTCCCAGACATTGAAGTAAGCCCTCAGGGCTTACTGCTCTAGTCATTAAAATACACTCACATAAGAGCAGTGTGTTGCTGAACTATCCTCAGCAGAAGGCCTGCTCAGTTATTTTAAGTCATTGGGATAAATAAGATAAATAAGCAAAAATTACCAAGTAAAAGCAAATAATAAATGGAAAAGGCTTGAGTCTAGTAGGCAGTTGGTTAACAGTTATTCAGTCTTATCTGACTCACCCCCCCTTCTCACTAAAAAGTCTTTGGCCAACCAGCCTGGATTTGTTAAACCATAGACTTCGGGGAGCCAAATTATCGGTTGTACAGGGTGCAAAAACCATGCATTTGTGTTGCCTGCCATCCAGGAGAAGGATGTATAAGGCACTCTGAAATATAGAAAAAAAAATTTTTTTCCCGTAAGACACTTTTTGTCTTTGTTACAATGTAGCTGAAAATCATTAAAATAACAAGAAGACTACATTGAAGTTCTTTGGATATTTGGGGCCACCTGAGGTCTGAAACAGATTTGTCATTCAGCACGTAATCAACTGTTATCCTTGAAAGCTGGAGGCTCCTTTATCCTATTTTGAACTTGGTTTTATGGTTCATTGCTTTGCCTAGAAGTTCCCAGAACAATTCCCTTCCCCTTTCTTAATTTCACAGCCTAAAAAAAATAACAGGGTAGAAGCATGGAGGATTTGTGTGAATAATAAATTATTTTTATGATTTCACATTTTTGGCTTACCTGTTATTATATCCTTCCCCTAACTATTACAAATAAGTGAACATTATATGCATGTCTCATTATTGGGTAGATCAACACATGTCTAGTCTTTGGCTCCCATCTGGTCTCACCATTTGTAACCAGCTAAACTTCTGGAAAAATGAGACATTGCTGGCTATCACATCTTTCTCAGCTGCCCTTGACTCCTCAGTCTTTAAAACATCGTTTTCTTCTTCCTCTACTTTCCCAAAACACCTTTCACTAAGGTCCTTCTTGATCTTTCGGTCCTTAAGTGTTCTGACTATTTTTCAGATCCTGTTTTACATGCCTCTCTGCTGCCCTTGATCTGGTGAATCACTCCCTTTTCGTGAAATACTCTCTTCCAGTGTTTCTATCTCTGTTCTTTCCTAACCTTTCTTCTACCTCTGATTATTCCTTCTTGGTATCTTTTGCAGCCTTTGTATTCTCTCTTCAACTTACTCAATATGTTTTGCTGTCTCACAGGGCTCCATCTGTTCTTCTTACCCTACACACAATGCTAGGCGTTCTCTGACAGTCTCAGTGGCTCTCCAGCCCACTTCTATGACTTCCAGACATGTTAACAACTGCTTCCTGGATATCGCCACTCGTGTGTGTGTCACACCTCAATCCCAGCAGCTTCCGAATCGAACAGCTCTCTTCGTCTCTCCCAAACCCGGTGTGCTCCTCCTGGGTTGCTCTCTTGGTTAATAGCACAGCCATACCTACAGGTTGCTCAGAACCTAAAAATAATTCCTGGGTCTTTTTCTCAGTCTTCTCTCTTTCAGGCAACTGATGACCTAGTGTTGTCTGTTCTACCTTCTTAATGTTGTTCCTATTGGTTTCCTCCCCTCTACTCCTTCTCTCAGAGCTTTATTCTGGCTTTTATTAGAGTTACCATCATGGGCTTCCTAACTGCTCGCCTGCCCCTCCAGCGTTGCACCCTCCTGTACACTTTCACTTTGTTAATGAAGTAATGAAATTCCTAAAACAGAAATTTCAAGATATCATTCCCCTGTTTATAAGCCTATAATGGAAAGCTCTGCTGCTTTCAAGATAAAAATCCAAATTCCAAGCTTGTCATATGAATCTCCCTTTAAAAAAAAAATCAGGTCTCTGTAAAGAATGTAACCTTCCTTTTTCACGACAATACCTCTCTCAGTCTACATAGGATGCATACTGAACTAATCCAGCTTCCTTCTCCTTGAGTGAAACATTCTTCTTGTGCCTTTGGACACGGTTCTCCTTTCACCTGGAATATTATTTTCCCCTTACCCCAAGACCTTCACCTAACTGCTTTTTATCTTTCAAATGTCAGCTTAGAGTTTTCCTAGGAAGGCTTCCCTGCTCCCTCGACCCCTGCCCCATCCCAGGTCCTCTCACAGCCCTAAGTCACACTTCCTTACACATCTAACTTCTCTCCTGGACAGACGACTCTTGAAGGGCAGCAACTGTGTCCTCGTCTTTGTATGCCCAATGCAACAGATGCATTGTCTTAGTTACATCAATGAACAATTCAGGGGTGGAAGCCAGCCTCCAAAATGGCCAGCAAAGATCCTGCCTCCTATTGTTCATGCCCTAGGTAGTGCCCTCCAAGGCTGCAGCAGAGGTGGCAGCACCTGTTGGGTTAGCTCTATGAGGAGGCCTATGTAACAAGGAACTTTATGAAGCCTTTAGCCCGCTGCCAGCAAGGCATGGAGGCTGTGTGAGTGTTTGGGAGTGGGTTCCCTAGCCTTAGTCAAGTCTTCAGAGGCTGCAGCCCTGACCAGCCTCTTAACTGCATGTGCATTAAGCTGTGAAAGGCTCTGAGTCACAACGCCCTAGCAAAACTGCTCCCAGATTTCTGATCCTCAGAAACCGTGTGAGACAATAAATATTTGTTGTTTTAAGTGGCTACATCGGGGGTAATTAGTTCCACAGCACTGGATGACTGGATGATGAAGCTACTTGGCAGGATAAAGGACGTGCTTTACCATTTCCAGGGCACCTCTGATAATCCCACAGAGTAAATTGCAGTAGCACAGAGAGGATCGGCCAGCGGGGAGCTCTTCCACAAACTCTACCAGAGGATTCTTGTCTAGAATCAGGGAAAATTCATTCCTGCTGGAATTGTTACAGGTCACACTTGGTGTGATCCCCAAGTACATCTTGAAAGCAACCTAATAAAGAGGAAAAAAAAATTACAAAACTTGGTCAAGAACAAATAACTATCAGGAGGGCGCCTAAATACCACGTACCCAGGGAACAAGGGAAGCTCGGGGAGTTTGTAGTCAGGAAGTGTGGTTCACACTCAGCTTTGAAATTTACTGACCCTATGACTTGTGCAAATCTTAAACCCTTTCATTTTTATGGAATATCCTAAAGGACTAGTTTCCTTTGGAAGCAATATGATTTATGAAACAGCTAAGGCATTATTTCTGAAAAAAATTTTTCAAAAATAAATATCCCTTAAGTGAAATAGGTCAGATAAAGATATATGTATGTATTGCTTATGTGTGGAATCTAAAAAATATCACATAAAAGAAACAGACTCACAGATATAGAGAACAAGCTAGTGGTTACCAGTGCAGGGGGGAGGGTAAGTTTGGGGTGGGGGAGCAGGAGGTACAAACTATTGGGTGTAAGACAGACTACAAGGATGTGCTGTACAACACAGGGAATATAGCCACTATTTTGTAATAACTGTAAATGGAAAGTAACCTTTAAAATTGTATAAAATAAGAAATTAAAAAGATAAATACCCTTTAGGACCATGAGAAACTAAAATATTACTAATCGTCAGTATACTAGCACGATATTTGTCACATGAGCCTAGTAAAGGATAAAGTCTCAAATTAGAAGGGACCCAAGACACAGCCACCACAATAGGAAGGGGACAGAGTAGAGGACGGAGGGTGCTGTGGGAAGATTAGACCCAAGGGTGTGTTTTGGGAAGTGGAGGAAGTCATGTCACTAAGGACGACAAGTCCCTGCAAAGGAGTAAGGGGTAGTGGCGGTGGCACACAGATGAGTCATAAAGTAGCTCCTCAGAAAAGTCTGCTGTTCTAAAGGGCTTAAAGAATTCTACAATGTAGAGACAGAGGATATCTTGGAGACTTTCTTTTCTACCTCCAGCTTCACAAATGAGTCAGCTAGGGTTCAGAGACGTAAAACGATGCGGCCAAGTTTATACTAGAACTTGGTTCCTTGGTTTCTAGTCCAAAGGACTTACTTTTCACAAAATATACAGGCCTGGAATTTAAAGTTTATTAATGGAAGTTTGTCATCCTGATTGTTGTTGTCTTTCAAGTGCCTTAATTAATTTAAATTTAAAATGAAAAGCAGTGCAGGACAGAAATGGAGAAAATTTCCTTAAATTATTTATAAGTAGAAGTACTAAAGGGTTCACCATGCATGCATTCATTCATTCATTCATTCAGTAGTACTCATTGAGCACCGCCTGTCCAGTAGAGTGCCTGGCACACAGTGGAGTTCGACTACTATTTGAAAAAAAAAAAATTGAGTAAGCATACATTCTGTGCTTGACATCATATTTACACCCAGAACACGAAATTTAGTAAGATGTAGTTCCTGTTTTATATGCGCTCATAGTCTAAAAGCAGTGACAGATGTTAAACAAATAACTGCAATTACGACAAGCGCTGCGAGCACAACGTTGTATGTTAGGAAGCAGCCCTTGAAATGTTCACAGAGGAAGAAGCGTCTACCCTGTTCATGAATATTGAGTGAACATTTGCTAGGTGGACAAGGTCAGGTGGGGGAGGTTAGATATTCCAGGTAGAAGGAACATGTCAAGGGCATGGAATACCATGATGAGGTTCAGGGGAAGTTGGCATCTATCAACAGGCAGTGGGGAGCCCCAAAGGTGGGAGTAGGCTAGGGGGAAGAACTGGATTTCTGTTTTAGAGCGATCTCCTTCGTGTCAGCATGGAGGATGGATTGAGGGATGAGAAGGAGGGTGGGCACGAGGTCAAAGGCAGAAAGGCCAATCAAGAGGTTACTATGATATAAAACAGAAACAGACTCACAGACATAGAATACAAACATGTGGTTGTCAGAGGGCAGTGGGGTGGAAAGGGACCGACTGGGAGTTTGAGATTTGTAGATACTGATGGGTATATATAGAATAGATAAACAAGTTTATACTGTATAGCACAGGGAAATATATTCAAGAATCTTGTAGTAGATCACAA